TTGCAAACTTTTTGAACTTCTATTGAGCTCTATATCTTTGAAATAAGACATGGCAAATGTATGGATGTAACCAGAAAGTTTAATTACAGGAGACAAAACTTATTAGAGAGATTATCCTTTTGACAAAATAGCACATTCAAGTTTGCTAGCAAAATACTGTAAGAGAATCCTATGAATTCTGTTCTCAATTATCCTTTTCCAAATCAAGATTTTGCACATAGTGCTAATTAATTCTGAACGTGCTCATAAGTTGCATGCCAGAACTAATAAAATCTGGGGAAACTGTTACAGAAGTGAAGCCCGTGGCCACATTATAGTTTCAGGATGCTCAAAATAGAACAGTGATAAAAGCATGCAAAAGCCACATTCTTTTATGAAAGTCTCAATGTTCTCTTACGGTACTCTAGTGAATTAAATATGCTTGTTTTGAAAGGAAGCAATTAGATTGTTTTGTATGAAACACTTGAAATCGGCTCCCAATACACCTTATATTATCAGCCCAGTTTAAAAGTTTTTGTCCTTGTTTAACCCATGCGTTTATTAGTGACTTAAAGCATTAATGTAAAGATTACAGGAACACAAAATTTAAGAACATATTCATAACATAGCTAGCCCTCAAGTGACTGATGATTTTCATTTAAAGTACACTTTGAAACTTGTTAATTTATTTTTTTTAGAATAGAATAGATAGAATAGAATACTTTATTGGCCAAATGTGATTGGACACACAAGGAATTTGTCTTGGTGCAAATACTCTCAGTATACATAAAGAAAAGATACATTCATTAAGAATCAAGAATCATAATGTACAACACTTAATGATAGTCATAGGGTACAATCAACAATCAAGTCATACAAGGAAACAGTCAATATAAAGCGTAAGGATACAAACAACAAAGTTACAGTCCTACAATCACAAGTGAGAGGGGATGGGTGATAAGGAGTGATGAGAAGATTAACAGTAATAGTAGTGCACACCTTGTAAATAGTTGAACAGTGTTGAGGGAATTATTTGTTTAGCAGAGTGATGGCTTTCAGGAAAAAAATGTCCTTGTGTCTAGTTCTGGTGTGCAGTGCTATATAGCGTCATTTTGAGGGAAGGAATTGAAACAGTTTATGTCCGGGATGTGAGAGGTCTGTAAATATTTTTTTTTAGCTGAAGGATAGATTTGTGAGAAGAAAAGATGACTCATTTGGATTTTATTTTACACTGTTGCAAATACTTAGAGCTCAAAATAACGTTTCTAAGTATATTCTTCTTCTGCAAGTGTGTAGAAGCAAGGCTACTTTTTGGGTTTCTATCTTACCTAGCACTGGAAATCTGAAGACAAGTATTGTGTGTTTTCTAGCTGCTGTACTCATACATAATAAATGAACTATTGTAGTCTGAAATTTTAATGGATTGTAACAGGGACATCCTTTGTAAGGTGATTAGAAAAATGTTGATTGTAAATCCTGTTTTAAGCTTTTTGTCAATTCCCCTTTCCCCCAACTTTACTTTTAACTGTAAGTTCAGATAAAATCAATGTCACGAGCAGCAGAGAACTTCACATAGTATTCAGAAGTAGGTCCATTTATTTTTTAATAGGAGACCCTCAAGAAGGTATGCACTGTATTGTAGAGTTAATCACTGAATCTACATAAAACATTTTCTGAATCCCTATCCTTTCCTTCCTTCCTTCCTTCCTTCCTTCCTTCCTTCCTTCCTTCCTTCCTTCCTTCCTTCCTTCCTTCCTTCCTTCCTTCCTTCCTTCCCCATCTGCAGAAGAATAACACCTTTAACTGGCATTCTTGGCAACATGTTTAATAAAACAGTGGTTTCTCTGGGTTTCTTTCTAATTCATTGCTGTTGAGTCATTGCAAATTTTACTTTTCAGTCAGGGATGGTGTTAAACGAAAGATACATGAAGAATAGCAAGCGTTCACTGGGGAAATTGAGTAGAGATATAGTTATCTTTCATTCCGTGTTTCTCTAATTGGTAGCATTATTGAGATCTCCCTCTGGGTTTTTTTTTCCTTTTGGAATGCCAACTGGTATTTATTTGAACCTGTAGGATTTATTTCCAGAATCACTGGAGCTTTCTATCATAAGGATTTTGAAGTTCCTGTAATTGATAGCTGCAGAAGAGTGTTTTGTGTATATATCTATTATATTTGAGACAGCAATTAAGCTTAACTAGTGGTAGTTATATTCACCTTAAATGGATCCCAGCATGTTCCATAACATGAATGAGCTTTGTAATTTTATACAGTCTTTTCAGCAAGTGGTTCAGTGTAAAAGTTCCATAATATTAGAAAGTTTACAAACAACTACTCCAATTGCACAATGTTTTCTTGTTTTATGTAATGGAAATAACCCCTATTACTAGAATTATCTTTGGAAACATCATTCTTCATGCTCAGTTCCTTAAATATATAATAATATATGAGCACTAATATGATACGTCTAGTTGGGTTTATAGTTTTTGATTTTTTTTGTCCTACTTTTATTATTTTTATAACTAACACAAGGCAGCAGACATATCTAATTCTCCTTCCCTCTATTTTCCCCACAAAAACCACCCTGTGAGTTGAATTGGACTGAGAGTGACTGGACCAAAGTCACACAGCTGACTTTCATGCCTAAGGTGGAACTAAACTCACAATTTCCTAGTTTCTAGCAAAGTGCATATGTGGTTTATAAACCATACTTTATGGTTTAATGCTGTCAATTCAATTGTTGCTTCTTATCTAAACCATAATTAAGCAAACTGTCTTAGAACAATCTGTGAATCTGTTGATGAAATTGGAAGGGGTTATTTGGATCATCAAGTCCGGTTCCTATCAGTGCAGGTGCTTAAATCAACACATCCCTGGCAGATGGTAATCTAGCCTCTAATTCAGCATTTCTCAACTTTGGCAGTTTGAAGATGTGTGGCTTCAACTCCCAGAATTCCACAGCCAACCAACATAGAGCCTACTACTTCACCAGATAATTGATTCCTCTGTTAAATTGCTGTTATTGTTAAAGTATTTTGCTAAAACTCAGAGGAATCTTCATTCCTATAATTTAAAACCATCACATTCTACATTCCTGGATGATACCGATTAGTGTGCACTTTTTTATCTGAATTCCTTTCAGATACTCTAAGGGATTCAAGTATATTATCACTTATTTACCATCATAGTCAAATCTCATTCTCATAGATTTCAATTGCCAATCTTCTGATCTTCTTGTCATGTTTTTTAATATTTACCAGTTTGATGGAGTCCTTCATAAAATTTGACCCTCAGGCCTTGGCTAGATTGTAAATCATTTTGCATCATGTGTCTGTATGATTTGAAGTTGCTTGTATCTTAATAATTATGTTTTAATATTAATAGTATTTGCATAAAATATATAATTTTGGTTATCCTATTCAGTTCAGGGAACCTAAAATTATCTTATAAGAAACCTACCCACAGTTTTCCAGGGTGGATATTTTGAAAAGCTATTTTTATATTTGAAGTGCTTGCCACATGCCCTATTTTATGTTTATTGAAAAGAATTAATATGTTGCCTTAGGTTACCTTCTCCCCCTTCCATCTTATATTCAATCAGAAAATATATTCTTTGTTTAAGCTAATTCCTTCTCCCTTTGAGTAGCTCTGATTTGCAAATGCAAAAGAAGAAGAAGCAGGAATATATTTGATTTTAGTGTAAGCTAAAAATGTTCAGGTACTATTAATTTGGAATGTTTATCTGCTGCTTGTTTAAAATGATTCAAATACCAGATTATACTTCTTTTTTTCTAGAAGACAATGATTCCCCCACCTTTTCTTTCTTTTTGCCAATAAAACTAGTTTGTGGATGGATGTTTTAAAAGGTGGATTTTCAATTAACTGGGTTTACAGTTGTAGAAATATAAATGATACACACTTGAACCTGCAGTATAGATTTAATATTATTGACAATATCCTGCAATTCCAATAAGTATTGTTTTGTTCCCAACTTCTCTGTAGTGAAACAAAGATATATGTTTCTTGATATCTAGCAATTCAAAGCTTTCCTCAGCAGTAAATGTGAAAATTTGAAAGCTGCAGTCAACATAGGATACTGTAGATGTATACAGTGTCCTCACCTTCAGTGTCCTTTCTGCATGGAGGCTCAGCTTACACAAAGTTTGAGAAGTGTTGAGCAACAAAGGGGACTATCATCCTCATCAGGGGTGGGATATGGCAGGGTTAACTACTGGTTCAGGATTTACCAGCTTCCCTGCCCGCTATGGGCCTGTTAATCGTCATCAGCAGCTGCCTGCAGAGAACATGGCTGCACCATTTTTTTTAATTTGCACCATTTTTATTAGGTAAACTTGTACCAGTCATTCACAGTTGGTCTGTCTAATCCAGTATTATTTATTTGTTTTGGTCTGACTATGAGAATATTTGCTCTGTGTTTTCCTACATTGTTTGATAAAATGTTCATGTAAAACTGGTTCTTTACATTAAAGGAAGTATTTTTGTTCTGGATGTAACAATGACAAAATATATCGAAACTAGAGAGGAAATGTCCTTTTCCCACTTACCTAATCTAAACAGTTGTGTGACAGCTTTTGTCTTCCTTCCTCTCTATTTCTGAACTTTACAGTTCCTTCACAGTCCTTGAGAATGTCTCTGCAGATTCTATACAACCATCTTTTTGGAAATGGGAGGAGCAACAGAAAGAAGCCTGCAGTAGTTTCCCCAAAATTGGTCCCTTCTCTTCATCTGTTAGATAAAAGTTCCCATCATTTATTGGAGCCATATTAGTGGAATGCAGACAGTTGTAATCCAACAGATGTGGATGATGCCAGATTTGGGAAGGCTGCTGTAACTTTTTTTTTTTTTTAGAACTGAATATCCTGATAGCCAGTTATAGATAATCAGGGGACAAATTGGTTAGCAAAATAGAAATGATCAGGGTGTAATATTAAAAAACTATCATTCTAAAAATGGCATTTGACATGTTTTTTCTCTTTTTTCCCCCTTTTTTCTCATAATAGAAATAGATCTGCATACAAAATGTGTGGTAGATGTGGAGGCAAACAAAGTTATTCTTTATCCTGTGAACACTAACCTTTCAAAAGGAGATGCTAGGTAAGTTTATTTCCCTTTCCCTTTGTTTTTAAAGAAAAAGATAATATATTTTAAAGAATGAATCATTGTAATAAAGTGTGGATAAGAAAATTGAAGAGTCTCTTTTGAGGAGAAATCTGATTTCTCAGTAAATTGACTTTATTATTTAAGGTGTGGGTCATGGTGTTCACTCTTATTTGTATCAATAGCTGAAAATAGCAAAACATGGCCTTTCTGTGCATTTATATCTATTTCTAGCTATCTATTTAACAAACATAAATTTCCTGCTGCAGTGTTACTCATACATTATTACTCTTTTCAATGTGAGAAGGCTTGGCTCAAATGTCTATGAAGATTCTCAGTCACCCAGGCCATGGTTGTCCCAAAGATGCTTCTTTCAAAAGGCAACTAGACTTTGAAAAACAAAGTCCAGTTGCCTTTTGAAAAAAGCACCTTTGGGACAGCTTGGCTCAAATATTTCATTTGAATACAACTGTTTAAAATTAAGTCAGATTAGTTCCTCTGAATGGTGAATGACTGAATGCAACAGGTTGGAGAGGTATAGGTTTAATTGGAAGGCAACGGATAATGTGTTGTTTTTATGGATACTGACATAAAGTTATGCTATGAGTACTGGAGAATAATTAGAAGATTGTGAGATGAGTTACTTAGTTCTATTTCTTGATTTAGTGCGAAGCAATATAATGTCTGACCCAGGTAAAATGCACCTGTTTTGGTATGTTGCTCATTTCTTGACCATATTCTGTGTCCTCTTAATTGATTGATTCATTTATTCATTCATTTCCTTGTTAATGGGATCCTGAGTGATTTAACTGATAGCAAAAGTTTATAGCAAAACCTTATTATATTGAATCCCTAACTGATTTCTGTAGTGGTTTGATTGCAGTAATGCTTGGCAGGTTACAATGTTTGCTCTATGGGCCTAAAATGTAGGGAAGAAAAAAAGAATGGAAAAAAAGGCAGGTAAGAGGTAGCAGAGAAGATGTGCTAAGAATCATGAAGTGAAGTGATCTAAACTCTGGTTAAAGAATAGAGAAGACAGTGATTTATATTTTGCTTTAACACACATTAATGGGCTCTTCAAACTTGACATCTTTAAGACTTGTGGACTTCAACTCTCAGAAGTCCTCCTCCAGTCATGTTAGCTCAGGAATTCTGGGAGTTGAAGTCCACAAGTCTTAAACTTGCCAAGTTTGAAGACCCTTGTTCTAGATCAGTGGTTCCCAACCTTTTTTTCGCCCCGCACCCCTAAAGAAATTTCACTCGAACCTCGCACCCCCTGAAATAAATAAATAAAAATGCCAACATATAGCCAATATCCTATTATTTACCTGGACTTTTCTCTCACCCCCTGGAATATCATCTCACACCCCCAGGGGGTGCGAGCACCCCAGGTTGGGAACCCCTGTTCTAGATAGTAACAAAATTCTACTTGAGCTGTTTCGGGTTACACCAGAAGGTTGTAATCCAAAACATGTAGAAGGTTCAGCTTTGAAAAAGACCACTATCTGCTATATAGGACATAAAATTATTCTTGCTCATTTTAAATGTTCCTTTGTTCATGTTTAGTGAGAACATATAAAGCAGAGACCTCTAATCTTTTGGGGCCAGTTGGTACAGCCTCGCAAATGGCTGCCGTACTGAATATGGCCAGTAATAAAATATCCATTTACATTGGGAGAAATTGGGAAGTTGTTCCTTACCACATCAACTTATATTTTTTTCTGGGCAGATGGGCTTGCTTCCAAAGAAAGAAATGCTCCCTAAAGGGTTTGTGTGAGATGCTAAACCATATTAGGAAATGAATAAGATGCACTAGGTTGTACTTTATTTTACAGCATGTTATTCTCCCATTTAAGTTTCTAAAATATATATGCCTAGATGTACACCCATATACACTTCACACTATTCCCTTTGAGACTGATCCATTTATGACAAATGTGGAAAGAAAGAAATGATAAGCCAAAGAAATCGAAGTCATAGATAATGGGGAAGGAGGGGGAATGCTGCTGAATGTGTTTTACACCAACCCATTTATTATACTTCTCAATTTCTTTCAGTTTTTACAAACCCCTGGAGAACACACCCATAATTTCCCTATGTTTTGTATTCTTTCTGTTTAGGATTTCATCAACACTCTCCAAATATACTTTTCTTCGTTTTCCTCTTTCTCTCAATACATTTATTCACCCGTCATCTTTTTTGTGTGTGTGTGATTTGATCACCATTTTTTCTATATGCTCAGGCTAACTCATTATTGCATATTTCATTCATATGGGTCATCCACTTTGTTTTCGCATTCATTCAGCACCCATTCTTGATTGACTTGATTCTATCTGTTCTTTTCCCTTTTCTCTTATACTACTTAAATAAAACCATTCTGACTACATTCAGCTTACTATCATTTTTCTCTTGACCTTACAACTTTTATTTAATATAACAAGATTAATAGCACATGTGCTTTTAGATGTCCCACACAAAAGCATCTCAAAAATAAACTGTAAAATACAAGAAAAACTACTTCCTAGGTGCCCTTTCATAAAGCAGGCTGTCCAATTTAGTGTGGTAATGTCTGAGTTGTACACTAATGCTGTTTCAGCTTCTTCCTAAGTAGATGTTTTGAAAACTGAAGACTGTTATGATATACATCTGTAGTGGCAGAAATAAAAAAACATACAATCAAACCTGTGTATATTATATAGAACTGAAATTGTCTGAAATTTGCAGAAATAAATATATCAGTCTTTTCAAATTACATCGGGATTTTAAGCCCATATGACTCTTATGAATCAAATGACCTTAGAATCAAATAAAATATTTAGAATCATACAACACAAGTAAAAGATGATATATAAATACTTCATTTGTATGATTCTTGCAGCTGATAAGGTTGCTATTTTTGTTGTTATTTTTGGTCCCTTCAAGTCAGTACCTGGCATTACCTGGACAAGTGCCTGTTATTCTCTCGGCAAGATTTTTGAAGTGAATTACCATTGCTTGCTTTCAAAGACTGAGGTAGAGTGACTGGCCCAAGGTCACCCACTGGTTTCATACCTAAGGCAGGATTGGGACTCAGTCTCCTGGTTTATAGCCTGGTGCTTTAACTACTACACCAAAGTGATTTTCACTTTTTGGGGGTGGTATTACCTAAATTGAGTAATACAATGTCTTCTTGTGGATCAAGTAGAAGATTTTTATAAATAATTCTGAAAGCTAAGGAATGCATCTTTCACGTCTTTCTTTCATTGATGCATAGGGAAATCGAAGTGGGATTTAAACTGGAATGATATGGGGAGGGGGGAAAGGTGGGGGAATACAGGGTGTTTGTGCAAGATGCAGGATGCATGTGAAACAGTTAAAAGTGACTCATCGTTGATTGATTGATTTATCAAACTTCTGAACTGCCCATTTCCCTCAAAGAGGGGCTATAAGTACCCAGTAGGGGACAGTAACTGTAATATGATAAAAAACTCTTAGATGTCTTGAGACCTTCTAAGATGGCCTGAATGCTGGCAAAAGTCTTCCTCAATTCATTGTGCTTGTGAAATTTCTTTGTACCATAACGGTAATGAAATGTCCTAGGGTATTAAAATGATCTGATATTACTTTGTCCTTGTTTTGAATCAAACTTGTGCAAAACTTGCCTCATTTGTCCTGCATAGATTTTGAAAGAGCATTGCTGGCAGATGATGACATTTATCAAATTAAGGCACCTCTAAGCTTGTATGTGAAGTTTCTGGGATCTGTGATGGTGCTATTGGTGTCAATGTGGTGGCAAAATAGCCAAAATCTGAGAGTCATGAAACACAAGCAGAATTGAATCCAATTTAATTGTGGTGAACTCTTGAAGATCGTGTTTCTCACATCTGCATTCTTAGGAAGACCTGGTACTTTGGGCAGCCCACTTTGGTAACAGATGTCTATCCAAATGTCCAAGAAGCCCTTTTTTATATAGGAAAAATTTCAGTCCAGCTAAGAGTATTTCTACTTTGGAACTGCCAATGAGTTTTATTCTCCCTAGTCATTGCTATTGTATGATACCTAGCAAATATTCCTTCTGTTTCTGGTGAAGTGTCCAGGAAAACTGAGGAAGGAGGCAAATTTGGGAACAACTGCCAGTAGTTCACATGATTTCCACGAGCTATTGGCAGGCGGCAGCAGTACCACAAACTTTCTCTTCTGTTTTTTGGGAGCTTCTTAGGTTCCACTTCCTTCTGGGTACTTTTCAGATTGGATAATCCTGATTTTGCTGGGAAATCATCGTTTCATGAGGCTGTATTACTCCCCCAAACAATAAAGGGAAGTTTAGACAAGACAGTCTAAACACTATTTACCTCTTGTCCAATTATTATAAAGCCACAACAACAAAAAATTACTGTTTCTGAGGTTGTTTAAGCAGAAATGCAAGTATGAGAATCATTGGCAGCAGTGGCAAAACATCTAATTAGAATCCATGGCTCAGGGAGAGCGGGTGTCCAGCTGAGTAATGCTCTGTTTGCAGTCAAACTTTCACTTCTGTCAGCTAAGTCTGCTTACTTAAGCACTGAGCAAAGTTCAGGCATCTAGATCAAGATCACAAGGTTGGTTGTGTACCTGGAACGTCGACAACCAATCCATTTTTTAAATAAATAGCTTGAATACTCCAGTTTGGATTTGCAAAGCCACTGGAAATGTTGCTATTATTGTGAAAGAGATCAACCCTATTGCTTGACATGCAGGAGAATCAGGGATTCCTTCCTATTTTAGTACAGGTGGTCCTCGACTTATGACCACAATTGAGTCCCACATTTCTGTTGCTAAATGAGATACTTGTTGAGGGAATGTTGCCCCATTTTGCAACCTTTCTTGCCATAGTTGTTAAGTGAATCCCTGTAGTTGTTAAGTTATGAACATGGTTGTTAAGTAAATCTGGCTTCTCCATTGACTTTTCTTATCAGAAGATTGCAAAAGGCAATCTCCTGACCGCAGGGCACTGCAACCATCATAAATATGACTCAGTT